TGGTGGTGGTGGTGGTGGTGGTGGTGCTGGTGGTGGTGGTGGTGGTGGTGGTGGTGGTGCTGGTGGTGGTGGTGGTGCTGCTGCTGCTGCTGCTGCTAGAATGCATACTAATATAAATAAATATATAGAAAGTTTATTTATGTTTATATTTATATTTATATTTATGTTTATGTTTATGTTTATGTGTATATTTATATTTATATTTATATTTATATATATTTGTTTATGGTTTAGGTATTATAGAGAAATATCACTGAGGAAGATACTCAACAACGCTTGCGGCACAGGAAAAACTTTGACTTGGCGTAGAATAAATAAATAAATAAATANAAGATACTCAACAACGCTTGCGGCACAGGAAAAACTTTGACTTGGCGTAGAATAAATAAATAAATAAATAAATAAATAAATAAATAAATAAATAATTTATATTTATATTTACATTTTTTTTGTGTTTCAGGTACTATAAAGAGAGAGCTCGGAGCGGCATAATAGTTGTTGTGCAGGAAAAATTCTTACTGGAATAACAGCTGCATGTACACTGCAGCTCAGCAGAGAAAAAAAACAAAAATAAAATAAAATAAATTTATATTTATATATGTTTGTGTTTCAGGTACTATCAAGAGAGAGCATTAAGAAAGATGTTCAGCAACGGGCGAGCTCGTAGCGGCATAATAGTGCTTCCATGTGGCGCGGGAAAAACCCTAACTGGAATAACAGCTGCCTGTACACTGCAAAGAAGTACAGTAGTATTAACAACATCAGCAGTTTCAGTAGATCAATGGCGTCGTCAGTTTTTAGAATATACAAGTATAAACCCAAAGGTGTTGTTGACGCTAACAGCAGAAGAAAAACAACAACTATGGGATGAACAACAAGCAGGCATTCTTATAAGTACTTATACTATGTTATCTTTCTCCGGAAAAAGAAGTGCTTCTGCTGAAATTATTTTACAACAAATTAAACACAGAGAATGGGCACTTATTATATTCGATGAAGTACAGTTTGCACCCGCACCTGCTTTCAGAAAAATCAATGATCTCGTCAGGTATTCTNTATATTCGATGAAGTACAGTTTGCACCCGCACCTGCTTTCAGAAAAATCAATGATCTCGTCAGGTATTCTTATGTTTTTATTTGTTTTTTTATTTATTTTTATTTTATTTATTTATTTATTTATTAATAGTTTCGTTTTTGTGGTTTTAGTGCATAAATATACAAGTAAATCTGTGTACAAGTACAGTTTGCACCCGCACCAGCTTTCAGAAAAATCAATGATCTCGTCAGGTATTCTCCTCTTTTTATTCTTTTTTTTATTTGTTTTTGTTTATTTTATTTATTTATTTATTTATTTATTTGGCTTTTTGGTTTTTTTCCATAAATTTAGAGGTAAATACGTGTACAAGTACAGTTTGCACCCGCACCTGCTTTCAGAAAAATTAATGATCTCGTCAGGTATTCTATTCTTTTTATTTTTATTTTTTTTATTTTTATTTATTTTATTTATTTATTTATTAATATTTTCGTTTTTTTTGTTTTAGTTTATAAATATCGAGGGAAATGTATTATGTGTACAAGTGCAGTTCGCCCCTGCACCAGCATTCAGAAAAATCAATGATCTAGTAGTGTATTCTTCTCTTTATTTTTGTTTTTTATTTATTTTTATTTATTTTTATTTATTTTTATTTATTTTTATTTATTTTATTTATTTATTTATTAATATATTTATTTTTTATTTATTTTTTATTTTTATTTTATAAATATAAATATGTGTAGAAGTACTGTTCGCCCGCATTCAGAAAAATCAATGATCTCATCAGGTATCCTTCTTTTCTTTTTCTTTTTCTTTTTCTTTTTTTTTATTTTTATTTATTTTATTTATTTATTTATTTATTTTTATTTTTGTTTTTATAAATGCAACTATAAATACCTTATATTTATATTTTTATTTTTTTTCTTATTTTACAAATATGAATATGATCATCATGACGGTAATGATGCTGCTGCTGTTGCTGCTGCTGCTGCTGCTGCTGTTGCTGCTGCTGCTGTTGTTGCTGCTGTTGCTGTTGCTGCTGCTGCTGCCGTTGCTGCTGCTGTTGCTGCTGCGTCACCTGCTGTTGTTTCTGTTGTATTTCCTTCTGTTCCTCCTGCTTCATCTCTTTCTATAATTCCTTCTATGACTCCTGTTGCTGCTGTACCTGCTGCTACTGCTGCTGCTGCTGCTGCTGCTGCTGCTGCTGCTGCTGCTGCTGCTGCTGCTGCAGAGCTCACTGTCGTCTGGGTTTAACAGCAACGTTGGTGCGTGAAGATGACTTAATAAAGGACCTGCAATGGATCATCGGCCCCAAGCTGTATGAAGCAAACTGGATAGATCTACAAAACCAGGCAAAACATACACACACACATTGCTGCTGCTGCTGCTGCTGCTGCTGCTGCTGCTGTTGCTGCTGCTGCTGTTGCTATTGGTGGTGGTGGTGGTGGTGGTGATGGCGGTGGTAGTGGTTGTGGTGGTGGTGCTGCTGTTGCTGCTGTTGTTGGTGTTGCTGCTGTTGCTGTTGTTGCTGCTGCTTCTGCAGCTACTGCTGCTGCGATTGCGACAGCTGCTGCTGCTGCTGCTGCTGCTGCTGCTGCTGCTGTGTTTAGGGTTACTTGGCGAAGGTCTCTTGTCAGGAGGTTTGGTGCCCGATGACGGCAGAGTTCTACAGGGAATATCTACGAGTGCATGAAAACCCTAAACCCTAAACCCTAAACCCTAGCTCTAAGCCCTAAACCCTAAACCCTTCTCCCTCCATCTTTATCGCTGAGTTTTCCGTTTAGAGTTTAGGGTTTAGGGTTTAGGGTTGATATTGTGATGGTTTGTTTGTGATGCGTGTGTGTATATATATAACAAAGATATTTGGAAATTTACAGTCTAGGGTTTAGGGTTTAGGGTTTAGGGTTTAGGGTTTATGTTTTGTGTTTCAATCAATTTTTTCTGAAGCGTGTTGGTTGTTTTTATATAACCTGGTTTTAACCCTTCCCCTTTAGGATTTATTGTTTATTGTTTATTGTTTATTGTTTATTGTTTATTGTTTATTGTTTAGGGTTTAGGGTTTAGGGTTTAGGGTTTAGTATGTATACAGGTACCTCACGCGAAGCAACGAAAGCTATGGGTGTGCAACCCCACCAANATAAACCCTTTATATACGGAAGGGTTTCACCCCCAGAAAGAATGGCTATACTCAGCAAATTTAAAGTATTATACACCCTAAACCCTAAACCCTAAACCCTAGACCCTAAACCCTTAAAAGGATGATAGACCCTAAACCCTAAACCCTAAATCCTTAACAAATGGGCCAAACCCTAAACCCTAAACCCTAAACCCTAAACCACCGCTTCGAGAAAAACCTATCGAAACAACCGTAACGCGGGCAGCGGAACTTCTTCTGCCGACAATTTAGGGTTTAGGG